CGGCTCCGCCTCGGCCGGCGCGCTTTGCGGCAGCGCGGGGCCCGCTGTCGGCCCCGCCTCGGGCAGAGCTCGGGCCGAGCTCGGAGGCAGTGGCAGAGAGAGAGAGAGAGAGAGCGAGAGCGAGAGAGCCTGCAGAGAGAGGCTGGAGCCTGCAGAGAGAGGCTGGAGCTTGCCTGAGGCTTCTCCCACTGGCACACCGCAGCGCGCTCCGGTGGGTCCCAGCCGCAGAGCAGAACCTAGGTGCGCTGCTGCTGTAAAGAGAACAAAATGGTGCTATGCCCACAGTCGCTGTTTGAACCTCCTTGAGGTGCAACAATACAAACTCCGTAGCTTTTATAATTTTGAGCTCTGGTAAACTGGCGAAGATGAAGCATTAAATCCCGTATTCAATTTTGAGCTCTGGTAAACTGGCGAAGATGAAGCATTAAATCCCGTATTCGCTTCTAGCATTGTACACTTACACATATTCAGGCAATGCCTTATTCCCACTTAAGTACTCAGTGATGGTTATATTTAAGATCAACTCAGAATTCTGTTTAGATTTAGTACACTCGGGAAACCCCATCAAATTTATCTCTGTCTCCGTTTTTTTCTTCTTTAATATCTGTCGTAAAGCACTGAATTTAAGCCTCTTTCAGACTGAAAATATTTTAATTCTAATGTGGTAGCATTTAGTATGCAAAATTTTCTAGAAGGACAAAAGGAGAATCTGTTGATGAAGTGAGGTCACGCTTCTTAGATATTTTAAATGACAAGAGATTTAAATTACTATGATAAATTAGAAAGTTGACTGCTCAAATGAAACAATCAGTTCCTTTGTCTTTGGACAGGGTTTTAAATACTGAACGTTAGTCATCAGTCATGTGAGGATTTAAACAAGCACTTAGCTTCATGCAATTTGAGTGATTAGTTCTGTTCAAGTGAATAGGACTGTGCAGAACGTGTAAGATTTAGCACATCTCAAACCCTCAATTGTACAAAGCTTTAACATGTGATCCAAAAAGTGATTTATTTTTTTAAGGCTGTTTCCTAAGGAACAGTGTTTATGCAGTCACACGTGTCTATCATCCAGTCTTTCCCAATCACCAGAGGAGGGGGAATGGTCAAGTCCTTGTTGGCCAGTTTCAGTTAATTCTTGAAGATGAGTGGAAATTTCAGAACCAATTTAGGTTTTACATATTTGGTGAAAATAGGTAGCTCAGCATAAGATAGATCTTTAATTGTGCAATGAAAGCAGCTGCAGGAGCTGAAATATTAAGATTTTATAAAACCTTTATTTAGGTGAAAAAGAGAAAACATAATGCCTAATTAACCCAGTTAGACAAAAAGGGTCAGCTAAGACTTATAATCAACCCAAAGGTGAGCCATTAGTAATTCAGTTTTGTTGGGTGTCCAGGGAACTTTTAAAGAAAAAGAAAGCAACTTTAAATCTGTTTCCTATGTGGGTATTATCTAAGGTCTGCTATCGAAGACCTGTATTTTAATAGGAAGTATACGATTAAATAGGTATTTTTAAAATATAGAAAACTTACATTTCAGAAGCATGCTTTCTTAGATTCTTTAAAATTCATCCTCATTTGCATGTTCATCTGCTGCATGCTCTTCCTGGAACTGAAAATCATCCTAGAGGAGCCTGTGTGAAAACCAGGGATATGGCTACATGTATGCATCTTTCTGCCTTCTATTAGCAAGAGAAGACAATAACCAACATATAATGAGAAGTTTGCCTGGAAGATAAAGGCTTTGTGCTGCTTGATCCCTTTGCTTTCTAGCATAAAGACAGAAATAATAGCTAGGAGGTTGTAGGCTGTAACACTGTAGGGGTTAATTGGAACATGAACAGCACAAAACAAGCAAAAAAAGTGATATCAGAATGGAAAAGAAACCCCTCAGGTAAGATACTATACTTTCACAAAAAGTACCAGCACTAACAATATCCCTATTTAGTTTTACTGAGAACAGAGTACTTTAAAATGGTAATGTATCTCAGATTTCAAAAGGAATACATGGTAAGAATCTCCAAGCACCACTTACAAACTCTTGTGTTCCCTTCCTTTTTATTTGTGAAATAATTGCACCTGTGGAATGCAAGGCTTTTGTTTGGTGGCCTTCCTTTTTTTTTGTTAACCTGATTTTGCACCAGTGTGAGGACTTCTATAAGGAATAATCAGACCCAGAGAAATTAAGGCATGTTTGCTAGTAAACCACTCTTAGCAGAAAGAGCATCTCATTAAAAAGCTGGCAGGTTTGTACTCATCTAGATATATGGCATTTTATTATTTCCTAATAGAAGGAAAACTATTTGGATTTTACTCAAATGTAAGTACTTTGCAGTCATTCTGCACTCTACTAACAGATGATGAGTTGTGTATCTTTGTAGCGACAAGATACTTACAGCTACTAAATCTTTTACATGGGCATTTAGTGAGGCCTTAAGGGATTGAGACTCTCGCTGCCTGACCTCCTCCGCTGGGGCTGCTTTGACCTCATTGCAGGCTATGATGTAAAGCGCTGCTGTGACCTGCTCATCAACCACAGACCAGCCACATGCAGTGCTGCTCTCTCAGTTTTCTGGAAACAGTGAAGGTATGGCAGCAAGGTGTAGCACTGCAAGGAATGTCCCTGACAGCATCTCTGGTTGTTAATTCACTTTGTGACAGGAGCACAAACCTTGTGTATATAACATGGCTGCACAGGGAGGAGGGCTGGAAGGGAATGGCAGGAGGCAGACAAAGGTGAGCTGAGCAGAACCAGTGAGTTGGGCTGAGGAGAGCAGCATTAAATCTTTGGAAATTTGCCAGTGTGGAGCATATGGAAAACCGCAGTACAAAACCTGTGTGTCAGTCCACTGCCCATCAAAACTGTCAGGCTGATGTAGTACAACCCATGAATTTTAAATTTATATGTATTTGTTACTTGAAGGCTCACAATTTATTTGGCAGCACAGGAGTCAAATATATTGAAGATTTTTGTGACTTACGTGCTTGCGTGGGGCTTGTTTTTTCTGGGATTTTATGTACTTTGGAATTTAAAACAGCAAGTGACTGGACTTTTATGTGAAATCATGATATTGGCTCTCCACTCAGATCTTCTCATCTTCGAAATCAAATTCCAATGTAAGTTCAGAAGGTAAACATTCAAAGAGGATGGCATTTTAGCTTCCACTTAGCATGAAATTATGTAGCTGCCAGGAGTATAAGGCAACAAAGAGTCAAGGTCAGAATGTTAACAAGGCCAGCTGTAATATGACTCTAATTTTCCTCCTGTTTAAAAAGGAGAGAAAATTCTCTCAGTGAAAAAATAATGGGAGAAATAGTGAGATTATCTTCCTCACATATTCTCTGAAACATTAATAGAAAGGTAAGAGCCATGGCAAAATACAGTCAGTTACTTCTACATATATTGTCATAGGAAATAAAATTATTGTGAAAGTAAAAGAACATTTAGGGGAAATACAAAGAAACATTCTTCTACACAGTCCATAATCACATTTAAAAAGATCCATGCCTTCTGCCAAAATGTCCCAGTTTGCAATTGATTGTACTTGGTAGGATTTTGTGTGGTTTTTTAGCAGACTGGATAATTTTAACCAGGGAACAGATTTGTTCAGATTTCATGCATGATAAACAAAGCAAATTCTCTGAAGTTTTTACTTCAGACTCTCTTTTGAAAAATCATCTTTAGCAAAATCATCTCTTTAGGAGGCAATGTTGGTCTTGTACAGTTGTGTATCTTTTGAAAATTAGTGGATTCCTTCACTAGGAAGTATGAAGTATTTCAGGAAAGATATTGACATCCCTTTTTGGTGGCAGATCTTATAATCTTAAGGGTCTGGAATACTAGAATATAGTTCTCATATTACAGTTTTCAACTGATGCATGTTTGATGATAAAGTGTAATTAGCTAATGGATCCCATTATTTCTGAGGCTTGCTTTTCACAGATCATATTCATCCAGGCAGCAGCTGAAGAGTTTTCTAAACTCAATTAGTGCAAGAATGCTGTGGCCAATGGAAAAATGTTTGATGCATGCCAGAAAACAAATCTTCCCAGCTCTTGGAAATATGTTCTGAAAACAAATATGGATCACACAAGATTTTCATAGCAATAAATACTTTTTTTCTTAAAAATATATTTAAAATGTAAAGCAAATTTTGTGGTTAAAATATTCTTCTCAGATGAAGCTCTGTAGCAGAAACTCTGGGACATAAGGATATGGGTTATCCTGACTGATGTGAATACTGACTCCTATTTGCAGGTTAAAAATGTTAATGTTGCATTGAGATTGAAAACATGAGGCAAGTTCTAATGTAGAAATTGATACAGTGATAGGCCTCATTCACACTGAAATTCAATGCATGTAAATAATTAGCAATGCAATAGTTTACTTAGGACCAAGCTTAGCATTGGTACTTGAGCAAAATCACAATTAATGATTGTCTTGACTTTAATTTGGAATGAATAGGCTAATTCTTCCAGTACAATAAACAATAGAAATACAAAGCCCATCTTGTATCTGAGCATACAGACAAAGATTAAGGGTCATTGTTTCAGCTCTGTTACCTGGCTTGTTGCTGAAATCTGAAAAAAGTTGTGACTTAATTTGCAACATGCATCCTATTTAAAATGGCTGGAAGTTTGTATAATCAGTTAACACAACTTTCCAGATGGAAAGTTATGGCTCATTTTAGAATCTGTCTATATGTTAAAGGCTAAAATTTAATGATCTAGGATTTAGACTTGGAATCTTGGAATTGGTCAATCTCTCTTGCAGCATACAAGGCTTTAGTAAAATCTGCTGACAGCAAATTAGAATGACTGAAAACTCTTCTCTGCATTCACAGAAGCTGCTTTTAAGTATGTGTGCGTGAGCTCACACACTCACACTTTTGTATGTCAACAGGAATCAAAGCTGCAAGAAGCTGACCTGGCAACAGCCCAGTACCCCCAAGCTACACTAATAAGCAAAGAAGTAAATAGAATCACGTACATGAAACAATTTATTTTTTTAGAACAGAACAGCATCTCCAAGCTTCCTGCTGTATTTTGCTGCCCCTGGAGGCTGCTTCTCAGTTTAGTTCCCATTTTTAGAAACTAAACACAGCAGGGTCCAGTGGGATCCAGCTGCCCTCTCTCAACTCTTTTGCAGAAAGAGAAGTCCTGGGTCTTCTGCAGGACTATTTGGATCCTTTCTACTTTCTTATATTAAAGGAATATGAGGAAGAGTTATTGTAGAAATAGTAGAAATATTTCACACTTTTTGGTCCAGTTGGCTTAATTATGTTCAGCTTGCAAATACAGTACTGCACTCCATGATCCACAGGTCTACACTTCTCTTTAAATCACACTTTTGACATAACACACACAGAAAGTTGCTGACTTCTAGTAGATAATAAGGTGAAATCAGTGTTATTGACTGCGGGAGAAGACTTAAATATGCACACACTTTGCTGAAACATCAGTCGCGGTTTAGAGCAGAAAGAGATAGGCTTCTGTGAAGTTATATTAATATCTACTGAGGTAATTTCTATTTCTGATTTTGAATGTTTGTTGTTTCAAGTGAAACATTTTCCATTGCCTGTGGTAAGAGAGCAGATTAGGCAGAAGTATCAGAGCTCATGAACTGTTGTGTACTTACTGACCTACCAGAGAACTGAGACATTTTCTTCAGAAACTGGAGCGGCTGAACTCTAAAGGAGAATGAACCCTTTTGGCAAGGCTTTGTAAGGGCTGTGGATGGAAAATCTTGTGTTTATGAAACAGAGAGAGCAATCAGAAACATAGTGACTGTTCAGCTTGTAGAATTAAGGGAAAATAATTACACATTCACACAGAGCCGAACAAAGCTAGGTTATCTGGACGCTGTGTGCTGTCAGGAGTTGTGGAATTGTCAAACACAGCAGAGTATCTGTCTGGTGTAGGATTGGCAAAGTGGTTGTTACCTGTTACCAGCAGTAGCTCTTGAACTGAAACAATTCTCAATGCCTTCTTACATGTTAATAGTTGATGCATTTCAAAGTAATCTATCTACCCTCACCTAGCCCTTTGTTCAGGGACTGCCGAGAAGTCACAGAATCTGATATCTCCAAATGACTCTTCCATAGTTCATTCCTCCACTGTTCCCAAGAGAATCTAGCCCATAATATCTACACACTAGGAGATCTGCACAGTTCACAGAAACACAAACACATGCAGTATTACAACACACGCATTAAAGTGACATTTTTTTACAAGATCAAAAACAGATAGAAAAAATGAAGGGCTGTGGGAAAGCTTTTACCGAATAAAAATGTCTGTGGAGGCTTGATCATATGTGGGCCTGTGAATAACACTCAGGAGACTATAAACTTTAGACAAACCAGATGGTTAGACAGCAAACCAGATGCTTTTATTTATGAAGACAAAGTTCACATTTTGTAAGGTACTTTGTTCTTCTCGAGAAGGTTTCATACACTAAGTAAAATAATTATATATGTGTTCTATGACAATGGGCTGGAACATTCATACAAATCAAGTCTCATCCAGTAGTCCATTACTCTTTCAGTACCTGAAGGAATGACCTGAAATTGTGTCAGGGGAAGTTTAGGTTGGATACCAGAGGGTGACTGGGCACTGGAGAAGCTGCCCAGGGAAG